CCAAGTCAATCTTCTCTCATCTATTCTCCGTTCCTTTGTGTACACAATATACCCTTCCCTCTACTCTAGCTTTTACCGACTTCTCTTCTCTACCAAGTAACCATGGTCTGAAGATCGCAGTTGCTGGGTTTAACTCACTTAACTCCCTGCGACAGGTTCAGCAAGTTGCTCCAAAAGTTTGGAATCTGGGCGGACAGGCTTCCTTAAACACCGGTACTGGGTGAACGGGACTCCACTAAAGGAAGTTGACAGGCATGAAGATCTAGGTATTTGGACAGAGTCAAACTGACTGCCCTCTAAAAGCCCTAAAAGGACCTTCCAAAAGGCGACGAGCGTCATGCACTGGATCAGGCGTGCTTTCATGGTATTTCCGTCCGGACTGTTTGCGCAGATCTTTAATACTTTCGTCAGTCTGCATTCAAAATACGGAATGCCACCATGGATGCCGTAGATGAAAAAGTACAGTGATCCCATCGAGCTGGTGCAAAGACAGGCAACAAAACCGGTAGATGGTATGAGGACTTTGTCTTATCCTGAAAGACTTATTAAACCTAATTAATTTCCCCTACCTTACAGATGAATTAGGTGCCACCTGCTAGTTGCATTCCATACTATCTAAGGACATTCCTGTTCGCTGAAATCCAAAGACATTGCCGAGTTTACAAACATGACGCATCTGCGCGGCCATCCGTAGAAGTTCAAACGTGAACGTACACGCCTAAATCCACGCATGTCTACCTTCAGTCAACGGACCATGGAACTTCCTCCCAAGCGAAATAGTGACATCAGATGCTCTTACTGTGTTTAAACGGCAGATGGATTACTTAATTTATCATAACCAACGATTTTCACTGCATTACAGCCATGACATTTACTCAATTATTTCAATTTTTATCTAGCGGATCACTACATGCATACTGTAAAAATGATCCTGTAAACCTTACAGTTCGGTAAATATTCCCATGGTTAACTTGAAAAGTCAGTTTATTAGGCAAAACATGTTTTTCGGCAATTCTTCGTCAGGCCTTTAACTTTGCAAAACAATGAACATTTGAACGTGTACAAAAACCAATTATTGTCCTAGGTGGGCGCCTATTGGCTTCTGCGGACTTATTCAGTCTGCGCAAATGGTCGACGTGCTGGGTGAGCGACTGCTATTCATAGCTGGGGGCGATGTGCTATCGTCACCTGGTGTCG